TTAGCCCTGGGATCCGTATATACCTGTTATATACCCTATACGTACCCATAAGGGCCCCTAGAGTCCCCCTAAAAGGCCTAAGGGCCCACGTAAGAGGCCCATACTTTTAACCTTAGAAAATCAAACCTCTACATCATAGAACGTACCTTTAATGCTTTTCTAAAGCTGAGGACCCCTTGTCGGGAGTCCGTATAAAAAGGGTGACTTTATGTTGGGGCCCCACTGTTTGTGGAAATCCCCAAATCAAAGCTAGGAACCTGTGTGAGTATACTTTAGGGTAGATATTCTGAAATGGTGCAAAATTTCCTGCACGCAGCCCTGAAGTCCAAACCCTAAACCCTAAAGGACTCGAAACCCGAAAAATGTGACCAACGCATCGTCCCTGCATGTCCATGCCATCATCTGTTAGCAGCCTCTGCCCGGTACCCATGGCCTGGGAAGTCATGGAGCTTATGGACGACGCAACGCCACGTCTGAATCTGTCCTGCAGAGGGAAACCAAGCAACAATTCCATGCATCATCCGAGATTTGCCCTTGAATGCATCCGTCCTTGGCATTCGCCGCATCTGAGCGCATTGGTGTGACACCCATCGAGCGGTCTGTTAGCACAGAGTCTTTGCTCGTGCTGCGGCTCTGGCCCCCAGTGCTTGCACGCTCCGGTCGCTCCGCCCGCTCCGCGCGCTCGCGCTCCTCCCGGGCAGCCGCGGCCGCAGCTCTTGCCTCCCGCGCCTGCATGAGGGCGCTGGAGAGGGTTGCCGGGAGGTACTCCGTGACCAGATCTTCAGAAGCCGGGGATGCCGGTGTTGCACCGGCATGCGGCAGATCCTGCACAGGCAAAAACATCACAGAGAACTTGCCATTTTTTGACCGGGGCAAGACATACCAGCACTTCAAGCATGTGCTCTGCGAGTCCTTCTCAAAGAGGTCCAGTAGGTTAGAAGCCTGGGTTGCTGTTAAGGAACTTATTTCAAGTTACCATAATGTCAGTCAGTCAGTCAGTCAGTCAGTCAGTCAGTCAGTCAGCCAGCCAGTCAGTCAGTCAGTCATACGCCAGGCGGCGCGTGGACATAATGGGTATATCAGATCATGCCCTGTTTCTTCGTTCGTCTCATTGAGGGGCGTGCAGATGAGATCCAAGGTCGGCGTTGACTCAACCATGCCAGCACTTCTGGTCAGCAGGCCAAAAAAAACGAAAACAAAAACGGACAAGACTACTACGGCAGTAGGCGTTGAGGGCTGCAGAGCTTGACAGACGCGAGCGGACGCCGTCGGGGTAATTATATACAGTGTTTAATAGGGTTTCCCCAATGTAGTAACTTACAATAAGTTCCTTAAATCCCTATATTCCCCCAGTTTCCATTTCATTTTCCATTTTCTTTTCCATTTGATTCTGCATTATAGGGGGATCATACAGTAACTTAATTTAAGTTCCTTAACTGCCACCCAGAAGCCGGAGGCTCATCTCGCTTTGGTATCGCGCTGCTTTGCGACTCCAACTGAGTTGCCTCGCTGCACTGGGACGGATGGCAAGCGATCGTCTTAATAGTTAGTAGTTGTAGGGGAATGAGTAAGGAAGTCAGTTTAAGAAGGGTTTAGGGTTTAGGGTTTGGGGTTTAGGGTTTAGAGTATTGTGAGCCCTATAATGGAGAATCAAATGAATCAAATGACAAAGAAAATGGAAAATGAAATGGACACTGGGGTAGTACAGGGTGATCGTCCTAGTGGTTGCAGGGAAAAAAGGAATGGATCCCTGTTGTACCCTAGGGCTCCCAGTTACCTATAGAGTATATATAGAATCCAGTTCCCCGTATTTAGGTAACTGGGAGCCCTAGGGGGTAAGTTTGCCCCTATAGCATCCATAACATTGTAATCGTTTCCATTTTCTTTCCCATTCCATTCCTTCCTTCCCGGCCAGCAACCAACAACTGATGGCTGGCACAGCACGCGGTGGATCGGGGGGGGTCCAAAGGTGCTGAGTAATTTAGAATAATTTCAATTCCCAATTTAAGGCCGTTGTGGTACTATTCCCTCCTAAACCCTAAACCCTAAACCCTAAAAGAAACGCCTGAGCCCCATATAAACCACCATTTAGGGTGAGGTCGGGTGAGGTCGCTTTAAATGTCCCAGAAGGTGGGATGAAGGTAGGTGGTTGAAACCTGAGGATCCCTGTATCAATTCCATTATGTTGGGGCTCTAATTCCTAAACTCAGCTTAACCTTCCTTCACCTCACCGTTTACTGCAGCCCCCTTAAACCTAACATGGAAAAATAGTTTTACTTATTCCTCAGGGCTTTACTACAATAGGGAAGGAAACTAATCCCTAAGGAGACTGCAGTTTGAGCCTCAACCCTAGAACCCTAAACCCCATACCCTAAATCCTATCCACCCTACTCAATCTTCCTCTACATCACCTTTTTTTCTGGGTTGCTGTTAAGGAACTTAAACTAAGTTACTATATTGGGGGAACCCTATCATTTACTATATATATACCCATTATGGTAACTTAATTTAAGTCCCTTAATCCCTATATTCCCCCAGTTTCCATGTCATTTTCCATTTGATTCTCCATTATAGGCCATTATGGTAACTTGATTTATTTTCCTTAATTAAGTTACTATATTGGGGGAATCCCTATTATTTACTATATATACCCATTATGGTAACTTGATTTATTTTCCTTAACAGCCTAAACCCTAAACCCTAAACCCTAAACCATCTTAGGGATCCAGGGCCTCCTCCTCTTGTTCCAAAGCTGTGCGATCTGGCGCGACACCAGGCGGCATGTCCTTCTTCTTGGAGGGTCAGGAGACCCCAAAGGGGCCTATCAACTTCTAGTAGGGCACTACATGGGTTTCCATGTTAGTTTGGGGGAGTGGAGGGTTTAAAGGTTGAGGATTTGGGGCACAGGATTCAGAATTTAGGGTTTGGGGCAGTTCTCATCACTCTGCATGTTCTGGAGTTGTGAACTTGAGAGCTACCCTAAGGCTCCTCGGAGGATACGGGGCTTTGGGGGCTAAGGTTTGAGACCCCATTTTTGCGGGTCTATACCCCCCCCCCGTTATAATAAGAGTTATCGTCGTTGGCAACAGGAGTCATACGTACTCTAACGACTTAAAAAGCTCCTTTAAGGACGGGTGCTGTGAGGGAGAATGACTCCAGCTGCATTGAGCATGTTTCCCCACAACCCCTCAAACCCCACCAAGATCAGCAACTCTCTCTAGGGTTTAGGGTGTAGGGTCTAGGCTCTAGCTGCTTCATGTAAATTTCAATCATCTCACAACCAGCACGGCCTTTGTGTATCATGTGTCTCTACACAAGGGCTCCTATGTAGTTCCTTTTTGGATTTAGTATGGTTCTTTGGTAACGGGTTACAATCTGAGCCCAAAAGGAACTAAATCGGAGGGTCTGGGTAAACTGTACCTCTGAAAATCCTGGTGCCCTCACCAAATGCATGAGAATGCAAACCTTCGTTAAAGTTCCCAAAGCCTGGTTCCTTAATTAGTGGAACATTGGGACATAGTACTAGGTAACAACTATCTGCTAATCTTCCTTACTGGCTTGCCGTATGAAAACTTTTCTAGAATCTTGATCAGCGAGGACCCCATACCCTAAACCCTAAATAGTAGTTCCCATTTTATTTTCCATTGTCCCAATATAACCTCAATATATACCCTATAGTCCCTATATAACCCCTTTTTTCATCCCTGCACTTTCCATTTTCTTTTCCATCATCCTCTATAACCCCCAAGGGAAGCTTCAATGTGCCATTGCCAGGCCGCCTGCATGGCGTTGTCTTCGACAAGGCCTAGCTCAGACTCTGCAGGGAGATTTTCTGCAGACGCTGCGATGTCCTGTCAAGGAATGCTGAGGGTTTAGGATTTAGGGGTTTAGGGGCGCTCCGTTCCGTAAGACAAAGCAGTAGTTCACACTGGGCATGTCTACCCAAAGCATACTATGTTCCCCTGCAAAATACTCACAGCTTCAGGCTACGGACCTCTCTACAAACATGTGCATGGACTTATCTAGGTTCTAGAATAAGGAAGCCGTAGTATGTACTATATACCTATATTCCTTTATAGCAACCAGTTATCGATCCTAAACCCTAAACCCTAAAACCTAAACCCCTCATTTAAGGGAGCTTAGCCAAGGTTCGTACTCGAATGTCTAGCAAGGCCCTGATTCCGAAGCAAGTAGCAATCATGGTGAGATTGCACGGATCTCCGATTTAGAGTCTACTTGGAGGCCCATGGATCTTAGCAATTACTTATAACTGGGCTTAGAACCTACTTATAATCCTCCTGAATGGGCTTATAGGGGTTACCCCTATTATATGTAGGCTTATAATCCCAACTCTAAGTAATTACTAAGTCCCATGGGCCTCCAAGTAGGGTTTAGGTTTTAGGGTCCGGCATGCCTGATTGATGGAGCCTTCTTCAGCAGTCCTAGGGTTTAGGGTTTAGGGTAGGACGATTTTCTTAAGAGGATCCGAAAGCCCCAACAGCGCACCCAAAAGGGACAACTGGCCCAGGGACGCCAAACATGTCCTAAAAGCCCTGAACCCTTGATGACCACAATAAGTAGTTCTAATAGCTGTATTCGCGCCCTATTTTCCTAAGACACAACTACTTGTGGGTGTTCGGAACCCCTAACATATGCACTCAACGCCTATATGGACTCAACTTCCATTTGATTTCAAAAATTGTTGTCCATGTGATTCTCTAGTCTTCAACCCCTAGACTCTCTATATGCGTAGAAGTCCCTATATATAGCCCTACGGATTTGAGCAGTCCAGGGTCGGCATTTTTTGTAGTCTGTAAGGCCCAAGTAAGTAGACTTGAAACCCTTGGGTAAGCTGGACTTCAAGGATGCATCCCTGAGAAACCATATACATCCCATAAATCCCCAACCCTAAACCTTAAAACCTGAAAGATAACACGCTAAACCCTAAGCTAAATCCTAAACCCTAAGCCCTAGATCCTAAACCCGAAGCCTTTCACCCTAAACCCTAAACCCTAAACCCTAAACCCTCAATTTTATGGGTGGGTTTCTGCACCCCGCAAGTCACTCCTGGCTTGGTGCGGTCTCTAGGAGTTCCGCTAGATCCGAGGCAGGCCTGTAACGGATGCGAGTAGAGATTTAGGGATTTAGGATTTAGG